GAACTAGGGAGGCAATCAACCCTGTGTGACGGCCTTGAATGATGACTCAGAAACTAGACCAGGATTTAAACACTTCAATGTGCCTACACTGAGAAATTTCTTTATTTGCTAAGATAAAATTTTTATGTAACTATATCATAACCTCAAACTCTAATTAGCACTAGGAAAATGAGATTACAACAGCAAAATGGAAATCTGGTTGACATGGTAAAGAACCTTTCTGTACATAATCAACTTGGACTCCAGGCAATACTAAATTATAACTCATAAATGTTTTTGGCTCCTACCCTGTCTTATTTTTATAATAGTTATGCATTCAGAAAACATATGCATTTACAAAAACATCTTGCAGTTATAATTTAGGTTTTCAGATGATACTACATGTGGTTTGGCTCAAAAAGAGATAAATATTCTGGTCTGAAAAGATAATCCACTAAAGCAGAAATCCATTGAAATGCTAAAATTATTGCAACCAAATTTTTTACATTAGCACATTACCTAGGAAAGTTCTATGCCAGTATAAAATATCATATGCCTTTAATTTAAAAGTCTAAATGTAATAGTCTAAATGAAATTCTTCTAATTTAAAATAAATCCTGAATATGCCAGATTCAAGGCACTATGTACTAATAGCTTTTCTTGTCTAATGATAATTTCTATAATATTTTTCATTATTCCTGATTTTTCCCAATGCACAATTGTTCTTCTGTTCTAATCACTTCAAGTTTTACTTTTTTTTATGTATCTTGTGGTCTTATTGTACCATATTATAAAGCTACATGCCATATCACATAGCTAAGTATTTATACCATAGAATGCTGTACGGCAAGACATGAACACCGGTATATGAACTGCCAAAACCAGTATTTGTTTCCTATGGAATGTAATAATAATAATGATAATAATATAATAATAATTTGATAGGATTTACACTAAAATTTTATTTATTTTTAATCCTTTGTTCAAAAACAGTATATAAATATTCAATGTAAGAAAGCTGTATTTGTTGAGATAGATGCCTTGCATATTACATCTCTTAGAGTTAATGAAGTTACAACCATACCTGAAAATGTAACAGTTGTTAACATTAATATTGGGCTGACACATTGTTTAATACATTTTTCTATGACTAGAAAGCCTGTAGTAAACTGATTTGCTAAGCAATATGTAAATTTTCCAACTTACATAATTTTCTCAACTCTCTGTTTTAAATATATCACAGTAAATGCTCATTTTTTTCAATTATCTTCTGAAATTATATCATTATTGAGCTATAACTAAGCAATTAAATTTGATTTGTAGCTACATTAATTAATTAACCTTAACATTTTCCAGAACAGTTAATATTAGACTTTGGAAGACCAAACAATATTTTGTAAAAATTAGTACTACTGAAATAGTATCATTAAAGAACAATCAATTAGTAGCATTTCAAATTTGTAGATATCACCTACCAAATCACAAATCAAATTAACATATTCTTGATTTGTTTTTTATTAGCTGTTAACATTATACAGAATTCCTTGTTGAATTCCCTAATTGAATGATGTTGAAAAGTTAAAATTAGTTGGCATGGATTTAGGATTTTTCATTGATTGTGCTTTCACAAAAGCATATGATAGTTGTTAATTTTATCTATTTAGTGGGGTTTTGCATTATAATTTTAAAATTTTATTTTACTGAGAATCTGTTTTATCAGTGCTTTTTTCTGAAATACACATTTTCATCTTAAAAAGGTCAATTTGAAGTAATTCAAAGAATTTATATAAGAATATGAATAAATAGATACAGACATCCTTATAAAATTAAATGATCTATTCTACTCTAAAAAAAAGATAAATGTTTAGGAATCCTTAACACTTTACCTACAAACTAAAATGTTGATGCACTTTTGACAAAAGTCATTAGATGCTGGGACACCAACATAATCTAACTTAGACTAACAGTTAATATTTTAGTTTTGTCCTACATTTACAAAGATTGTGGTTCCATGTAACTTAAAATGTTATTTTGGATTTAATTTTTTGTTAGAAAAATGAATACATGTTGAAAAAAAATTTTTTTTAAAAAAATGAGAATTTCTTTTGTTTCTGTAGTCAAAGAATCAATAAAGCTGGGCTGCCACTTAGTCTCCATCCCTGATCAGATTGGACTGTGTCTACCTTGATTAATAGACTCTTAAAATTAGATAACCTTTAAATCCAAAGCTTTTGTAAAAATCTCTTTATAGCACCCTGAAAAGAATCACCAATCCTGACTTTAATGTGCAGCATTAAATAATCAAACAAGAAGATTTTTCATTGTATTTAATAAAGCTCAGCTGTGTCAAGAGCCCTTATCTATGTATGATAGGTTTTGAAGAAAACTACCCCTAAGATGAACTGTGATATGGAGGAGATATCAAATCTTTCTTGAAGATAAGTTGGGGGTTGAGTCTACAGAGGCAACTTCATTGCAGAATGAAAAACTCCTTTGTGCTTGAATCTGACTATACGGACCTGGCATTGGACATGATCACCAAAGGAAAAATAATCCATTAAAAAAAAAAAACGAGAATAATGGTTTCTAAACTGCTAAGAAGCCAGCACAATACCACTTCTTTGATAATTTCTTTTTCTGGAAACATTGTGCTTACCTTAAAGGCCACACAAACACATGAATGTAATCAATGGATCTGTTAAACAAGAACAATGCCTACCAATAATAAAGCTCTATTTAAAGTCAAGACACATCTTTAAAATTAAAATTCCAGAAAGAAAAAAAATGTAGGGCTTCAACTTCATTTCAGTTATAAATAAAATTCTTTACCATTTAACAATTTTTACATTTCATCTTAGTGAATAAAAAAGCCAGATATTTTTATAGAACAAGAAACTATGATTGATCTAGACTGCCCTCATGAATATAATTACAGAGATGGCATTTATTTTATCAAGTTCTACCAATTCCACCAATTCTTACAAATATTCAAGAGAAACATATATATGTAAAGACGGAGTTTGGCAATATTCCTTCTTTAATCAATTTAATTCAATAGAGTGAGTGTTTTTAATGGGCGTTTGGCAAAATAAATTATTCCATTGAATCACTGTCAATCTTTTTATAAAACCTTCTTCTTCTACATATGCCACCTAAAATAAGATTATTTATTTATGGTTTGATAAAAATCTTGGATAGCAAAGTAGATAGGGAAAGCTTGACTCTCAACTAAATAAGTAGAGAGCCATTATTCTTGTGAGAAAGCAACATAAAATTTTCATGAGAAAACATCCTAAGTCAAACAAATGAGGAAAACAAAGCACCACTTAAGTTATATTTAAGGGCTACCCTTGTGAGTACATTACACTTTCACATAGATTCCAAGTGCTCTCTACTACGGGAAGGCTCAATAATTGAAATGATCAGAAAATATAATGCAAAATAATTCCTAGCAAAGGAATAAGGGTTAAGTGCACTAACCTGGGCAAAATCACATTCAATAACCTTTTTTTTCTTGCATATTCAGGACACTAATTTGCTACTATATCCTGTCTTTCAGGAACATAAGTGTCCCAGTGAAACCCATCACAGTAAGTGGAACATTATCAACATAAGAACCAACATAAAGTAGATATTCATCAAACACTGTTGCCCATATACAGACATCAGAAGATGGATATTATAATCTCTGCTTTGCTGAACTTCACTGTGATACTGTACTAAGTAACTTCGTATCTCTTTAACATAATGGCAAAGAGATGTAAGGACCCTGGAAAGCTTTTTCAAGAAAACCTGTTCCCTCTGATCATCCCCCCATCTTTTTCTTTCCCCCTACATATTCAAGAGAAGAAATTTCATACTTGGAGAGCATGTATCTTGCCATTTGAACATATTATATACCACTAGAACCATTTTTAAAAACTAATTTATAGTTAATATATTTATTTCTTTCTTGAAATTCCTAAGTTGTAAATGCTTCGAAAACAATCATTCACCATAATATCCTTTGTTACACTGTAGATAATACAGTGATAACACAGTTTCTGGTTCTTCTTCATCCCTCCTTCCTTCATTTATCTTATTCCTTTTCTCTTTATTCCTTCCCTCCCTCATTCTTGGACACTGGTCCTTGAGTCAAATTCCCTGGCTTCTTTTAGTGAATTAAGTGCAAAGCCCTCTCTAAGACAAGGAAGGAGGAATGTCTCCCTCGATGGCAGCTCTCAGTGGAAGAATCACTTCATAACACTCAGTGTTACAACTGTAAAGTGCCAATAGGGAGAGTAAATTGTTCCCTACTTCTTTCTCTGACCTGTTCCCCATCAACTAGGATGCTTGGACAGAGTCGTATTTCTCTCCTCATCACTATATGAGCAGGGTAAAAGGGTTTATGTAATCATACAAAGTAAAACCAGACTGGAAATAAATAATGGATATATCCTCTTCTCGTGATAGCATAACACTGAAGAAGCAGGGTTGGTCATTAAGTCATAATTAAACACTAGCCTACAAGCAGAAACATTATATTGTCATAAAACCACAATGTCAGATGAAAACCACAGAAATATTTCCACTCAGTCCTAGTAGCCAGGAAATTCTTTTTAGAGGTGCTTCTTTTTTGGGCTTTCCCAATTTGTACTCAGCCATGAAGATAGGGACCTTTTGTGATGTGTTAAATATTCCTTTTCTGTATATATACTGTGTGATCCAAAATAGAATACAGAATTTTCAACCCATCTTAAATGATCTGCTAACTTACGTCACAAGCTTCATTTTATCATGGCCTACAGTGTACTTGAATATGTAAAAAAGACAAAAGTAAAAAAAAAGATCTCAATGTCAAATTAAGATCTGTGTCTAGTACCAATTGATAGGTGTCACCCAAATGAGGACTGATACTTTCAAAGATGTCTTCCGTAATAACTATTCCGTTCCTTTTATGCCATTTGGTTTAAAAATATGCACACACTCTCGCAGTTATGCACTCACTCAACCATACACATAAACATATAAAAAGAACTTACACAATTTCATCGTTCTGGAATTCCAGCTCTCCACAAGTGTCCTCAAAGTCCTCCCCTCCACCTCTGGCAGTCCCTTCGATGGTTTTATAGGGAACGATAACATTTCCTCGAGCTCCAGATGTTCTCAATACCTTCACCTCCATGATGCCAATGCTCTCACTCACGTGAGTCACAGGTTCCTCAAAAGTAAAGATGCCTGCGTGGTCATCATCAAAAATGGTTACAGTGGCCGTGGAGGGTGATCCGAGACAAGCAAGAGTGGAGACATGATTGGCTTCCAGGATGCCATCTTCTGAAGCTTCAGAGGATACTTTGACATTGCTGAGGTGCACAAGGAAATTTTCATCCTCCTCAAAGATGTCGTCATCAATGATGCCAACTCTGATTTCCTTCTGGGTCTCGCCAGGTTTAAAGACCACAGTTCCTTCAGTGAATTCATAATCAGACCCAGCATTAGCCGTGCCGTCCTCTGTTCTGAAGTCAACGAACACAGTGTTGGTCAAATCCCCACCTCTGCGGATAATGGTCAGGGCCACAGTACCACAGTTCTCCAGACACTGATATGTCCCTTGCTCGAAGAAGACCTTGCTCACCGGGTCATTTTCAGCCACTTCCGTGTTGACTTCGTGCATGCTGACAGCCTTCCTTGCTTGGTCAGCTGCATGCCTCTTTAAAATGTTGCCAGCTCCGGTCATCAGGCGAGTAGCTTGGATGCGGTAAAATGCTCGACTTTTTTGCTGCTGACTTAGGACTTGGTAGTTGGCTAATTCTATTAACTGCTCTATTTCTTTCTCTGGATGTTTCTGCTTCAGTTCCTTCAGAATCCTCGCCATTTCTCGCCTAGCCTCTTCATCATCTTGGTCCCTCTCATCGACCTCCAGAACCAAAGCGCCATCTAAGAAATTGTCAACGTGAGAGTTGACTACTTTCCCATCCATTTCGATTTCCGTTTTGGAAGATGGCCTGTCCCCCTCGTGTTCAATGATCATTCCCCTCTGCTTGCCAGCCCGATACCGCTTGTAGACATACTTGTAAAACAGCAGCCTCCTATCTGCTACCCAGGCGAACACCACACAGATGGGAAAGAAGAAGAAAGTAAGCAAACCTTCCCAGACCTCCACAACACCAGGAGAGATGACAGACAGAATAATGTACAGCCAGGTATAGGCAAAGATGCTCCAGGCTGCCGTCACGAAGAACACACGCAGATGCTTAATCTTCCTCGTCTCTCCATCAGGGACCACGTAAACACAAAGTGCAATGATGATGAACATGTTGAAGGCAGCACTTCCCACAATGGTGCTGGGCCCCAGGTCTCCCGCAGTGAAGTTATGGCCACACACTTCAATAACTGAAAGCAGAATCTCAGGAGCAGAAGATCCCAGGGCCATCAAGGTCAAGTTGGATACAGTCTCATTCCAGATCCTCACAGTTGTCTTGGTGGTCTCTCCATTGGGTTTCTTTATGGTTATTTCTTTTTCTTGGGATGTGATGACTTCAATAGAGGACATGAACCGGTCGGCAATGATAGAGACTCCCAGAAACATGTAGACCATGGCCACGAAGTACACAGTAGCTCTAGCAATCTTGTCTCCGAAGGAAGGGTCTTGGGGCTCCCAAATAGGCAAAATCACCCCTTTCTTGCAAAAATATGAGCCGGTACATTCAGCGGTATTGTTTCCTCCTCCTTCCATTTCAGTCTCAGCAGTTATATGGTCCACATGGGAAAATAAGAAAGCCATCAGAGCTAACAGATGAAATCCCATTGAAAACATGGGTGAGAGGCTTAACCGAGGCATGTTGTACAAGGAGACGTCCAACTGTCCTGACCTGTTGGTAAAAAGAAGACGGGGGCAGGGAGGGTAGAAATAAAAATCACATTATTAGATCCAAATCCAAAGCATGATTAATACCTTTAACAAAAATTGGTGTATGTTTGACCATCACAACATCTCTGGTGAATCATCACTAACCTGACTCCGTCAGTGATTAAGCAATCCTTTGTGAAATTTACAATTTGGTCTCTCTGTTTGTGAATTTTCTACATGTAATTCCATTCCCTGAGCAAGACTCACAACTGACTTCCTGGAAATGAAAAGTTCAATTTTAAGCCTGGCCTAATTAAGCACACATTTATGCATACTAATGGGCAACAAGAAAATAAACAAAACTTTTGAAGCATTAAACAATCGCCTCCTTGTTGCTAAAGCAGATTTTTTTTCTTTTAAATTTTGGTTAGTTCATTATCTTCAAGGACATTTTTCATTGAGAAAATCACTTTATTAATATTCGTGCATTGAAATTCAGACTCGGAAAAACAACTACCAAAACAAGGCGTGGTGATGATCTTAAATTTGGAAGTACACCTTACACTGTATTTCAAGAAATCACACCCTACTGCTCTAAACTGACTTGGAAACAGATAAATCTCTAGGTTTGCCTGCAATCAAAGCTCAATGGTATTTATTCTCAAGAGGAAAAAAAATTCCACTGTAATGCAATATTTCCACACATTAAGTACAAGTTTTAAAAGCATGTTTTGATGAGAGCACATTTCCTCCTAATTTTCAGCAACCAAGGTCTCCTGATATATTAGTAACTGGGCATCTAGTACTTTGAGAACAGCCCTTCATATTTGTATACATAGCCTGCTTTACAATCTGCAGGATGTCCCCAACAGAGAGAAGAGATAACCAGGTCCAGGCCTGGTTGTGTGTAAGACCCTGGCAGGCTGTGAAATCAGCATTACCAGCCATAAAATGTTCCTTCTCAGTGTCAATGTCATACTTTCCATGGTCATTCCAAAACACACATTGGTTCTATAGTGGGCTCAAGTGACTAAAATATGCAGGAGCAATGATTCCATCTAAATTAGATTATTTGGCATAGCAACAGTAACCACAAAGTATATATGATGAAGGGCTGTAGGCAATTAGAGATATGGCAACAGAGTCATGGAGGAGCACAGAGAATGGCAAGCAAAGTAGTGGACAGAGCGACCACAGCCCTAAATTCAACCACCAGATCATGCAAAACTCTGTTCTGACCTCACATCACCTCTGCTTGTAGGACCTGGGGCATCAGGACTGGGATAAAAGGGGTAGAGAATGGATACTGAAATACAGGAAGATCTGGAAGGCTTTGAAGGAGGCCAGTGATGACATCCATAGCACATGGATAGGAAAGCAGTCCTGAGTCAGAACATAGCCCTGTGGCCTAGAAAACGTTAAAAGAGGAGCTGGGTGAGAGGCTCTCAGTTCCACGCTGGCTGAGAGCCACCCACGTTTGCCTATGTTTGCTGCTGATGGCTTGCACTGAAAACTGCTCCCAGGTCCCAGGAGTATCCCTGTGGCCAGCACATTCTGGAAGACCCTTGGAGATCCCACCGTGGCCTCAAGCCCTCTTTAGGTCATCTCTATTGGGAGATAGGCTTCTTCCATATTTCTCCCATATTGAAGAAGACCAGGAGAGGGTAAAAGGCTGACAAATGAAAGAAACACATTTACAAAAGCATTGCAAGAGTTCATGGTCAACGTGTGTCTGTTTGTTTAGCCTTGCAGGGATTGGGTGGTTTGTGGGATCCCTGCTTAAAACAAGGTAACATTCAATTTGTCTGCAAGAAAAATAGGAGATCTCGTTCCAAGTCCCTTATGCATCAATTTTTTTCCACAATTATTTATATGTGCTTAATATGAATTTTAGAATGACTCCTTAGGCTCTCTTCTAGACCTAAGAATTCACCAGTGAATAAAACAAAAGTCTCTTGTCTTCTAAGGCATAAATAAAATATCAGGTGGTAAAAAGTGGTACAATGGGGGAAGGGCAGAATCAATCTAAGAAGGACAGAGTGTGTGTGTGTGTGTGTGTGTGTGTGTGTGTGTGTGTGTGTGTTCATGCACACATAAGTTAGCATGATTTTACAGTTAAGGAAGGCGTCTCTGATAAGAAAACATTTGAGCAAAGTCCTGAAGGAAGCAAATGATCAAAACCTTGTGGGTATTGCAGGAAGAGTATTATGACAAAGTACAAAGGTCCTGATGGTAATGGTGCAGAGAAACCAGAGTGGAGGAAGGGCCATGCAGGAGTGGGAATGCAAAGGGAATGGATCACGGGGTCACTGAGGCCACTGTAAGGTATTGGCTTTGACGAGGAGATAGACAGGAATCCCTGAGGGTTCTGACCAGAGAGTAATATCTGGTTTTCCTTTTAGAACAGGCTCTCTCCTGGTTTAGTAGAGAGATTGTAGGGGATGAAAGGAAACAAGGAGACCAGCTCCTGCCTACTATATTAAGATCTGATTTCTAAATGATCCCAATGCCTGGCAAGTATTCAAAAATGAAAGAGCAGACAGCTAGCATTTAAAATGGAGAAGAAACATTTGTAGTTATCCTTTTAGTAGACGGGAAACTTAAAATGTCTTGGAGACTGATAAGGATCAGAAAGGTTAAATATTTTGTAATAAATAACAGTACTGAACAGAGAGAGTAAACACTGAAGAAAGATTCAAACCTGTGTCTGTCTCCAAGCCTGATATAATTAACCACTCCTTCAAATCACTGCCAAATTCATCATTCTATTTTTCACATTTCAGCCAAATTGAACTCGCTAAGAAACAGATCTTACACTGTGGCTGTATTTTGCCTCATGTCCTGTGGTAAAACCCCTCAATAGTCTGCTCAAGACCCTGTATGATCTAACCTCTGTGCTCCTGAATGCAGAAATTCTTTTAATTCCCTAAATAAGGCACTTTCTTACTTGTAGGCCTTTGCAGACTGTGTTCTTTCCTCAAAACATTTTCCTTCTTAGAATCAAAGTTCAAAAAATATAACAAATCACAATTTCTTGAGAGACTAATATTGAATTCCTTTCTTAAAACTGTTATGACATCGTGTTAAATTCTTTACATGTATCAATCACATCTAATATTTCTAATAACAAGCACTTTTGTGTCACACAACTTTTAGTGTTTCTATTTCCATTTTGGTCTTTGCAAACAGCACCCCCTGGAGTTGTGCAGAAGGTAATGCACTAACAATAGCCCTATCCAGTAGACACTCATTTTCAAAGTGGGATAACTGAGGAGTAGACTAGTTAAGAACTTGTTCAAAATCATACAGAGAGCAAACTAAGATTCACATCCTGGTCTGCTTCCATTAACTGTTCCATTAGGTCATCCCTGATAGTTGGTAAAGTAATGCTGGACAATTGTTGGATTTGGGCTTGAACTAGCCCATTGAAAGCCTCTTGGCTTCTATGCAGGTTAGGAGAGCCCAGTTAGCAATAGTCTCGTGGAAGGTTTCCAACAGCCTGGCTTTTATCTTATGGATTAGAGACTCAAGCAGACAAGCATCAATGACTGTGGTGTATAGCATGAGGGCTGGCATGTTCCTAGAGACAGCTGCCCTATGCTCCCTGCCCTTTAGCAATTGCCTGGCAACCTTTTCCTGCGTGCACAGTCAGGGCTCTCTCTTAGGTCAGCCAAGAAAAAGTCCTGCCCTCCATCTCTGCCCTAGCCCACATCTCACAATATGATTTTAGCCAAATGAGGACCAGATGTGTAAAAATGGATGGATTGGTGAAAATCCATCGTCAATATTGGGGAAAAAGGAGAGGGGCTGCTGAGGTTACCAAAAATCATCACATTTATATTAAAAAAAGTGACAGCATTATAATTTGTGAAACCAGTGGACAAAAAACACTGATGTAAGTTATTGGCAATAAAGCAGCCGGGAAGAACTCTCTGGACTTTGGTTGCTTTCTTTATTTAATGAATACCAAATCCAAATGCTTGTGAGGATGTGGGAGAAGTGTTATCTAAAGGAGTTTCTTTTTACCTCTATTTTCTTTCTTCCATTAAAAGAGTCCAGAAGTTCTACTTAACCCTCCCAATTTCCCCTGAGGGGTGTGTGTGTGTGTGTGTGTGTGTGTGTGTGTGTGTGTATAAATTTATATATATATAAATTTTCCATGAAAATTAAGCAGGAAGATAAGAACAGAGGCCACAGGTATGTTGGTTTGCTGCCTGGCTTTCTTACATTTTTGCCTTGATCTACTAAAGGCTGGCAGCTGATTTCTTTGGTGGATTCAGATCAACTCTATGTCTATGTCAAGGGATCACTTAGGAATACCCACTTCATCATCAAAATGAGTCTTCAGCCCAGTAAGTATCAAGAATACCTGAATTATCTTCTACTCATATTTATTTTAAAACAAAACAACTTTATCACCTATAAATTACAAACTTTAATGACACTGACTAAAAAGATGGTAAAGAGATGCCTGGCTGCCAGTAATCCAGCCAACCTGTGCTGAAGGGAGAAATCATAGTTCCAAGGAAGAGGAACACATGCCTACAAGATAGGTGTTTATCAAACTGCTTTGTAAAGCATAAGGAAGAACCTCAGTTGCAGAGAGGCCCAAAGAGGAGTGAGGCAGCAGAGTGCCTGCTCCCCACAGGAAACTGGGGTTAGTTTTAACTAACAAGAAGTACCTGACTCAGAGGAAAGGAATTTGCTGGTGTCCCCACCAGTCCTCACACTGGATGGCCTAATCGCATTCTGTTGATTGGCAGTTGGGGTTATTCCAAGGAACTCCCTGACTTGCCTTCTTCAGGACTTGGAATTCCCTTCTATGTAATTCTTGCTGACTGAAAGCCTCAGAGCTAAGCAATTAATCTATTTCTAAGGCAACATGAAAGCAAGTAAAAATCTTTACCCATAACTGATGCAAGTACTTCTCATTGCTTCTAGACAAAGAGATGATGAAGACATTTTTCATGTGACATGAGACCATCTCATCTAACATTCAAATACTCCTCTGGCTCCCAGCCT